GTGAGGTATATAAAGCAATCTATCTGCATGCCGAATGCACATTGCAAGATTCATAGTCATTCCACACCTTTGTGTCCCTGGCTTTTCGTGTAATTGTGGATAATTTATCAATGTATGCATCCTTTTGTTTGTAGTACGTAGATGCGCCAACCCTTTGTGCATAAAGCTTTATGTGTGTGATTGTGAATGCAAATGAAATGTACTAATTGTCAATATGAACATGACAAGAGCTGAAGTCCAAATTAACCTTTATGTGTAATATAATCTCTCTACATGGAACATTGCGGGAGCCGTTGTCAATACAAACTTTTCTGTCCAAAGCTTTGCGTGTGTGATTGCAAATGAAATGTAACCATGCACTAATTTACAGTAGTTCTTTTTCGTTGTAGTTACATACATATGAAAAGAATATATTCTGCCTGCATGCAGTATGAACAAGAGCTGAAGTCTAATCAAGTTTTTGTGTACAATATAATGCACCCAATTTACTTCATGAACTTTCAATTATCATTTTTGTTGTAGTTACTAGCTGCTTTTGATAATAATATATTCTGGAAGCATGCAAGTGGTGGAATTCTAGAACCGTCTTCAGGCCAGATACTCCAGTTCTTTCTCGGTGAACTCACCCCTGCTAATTATAAACTTTACCGTGGTCACGTCATAGTCAAACAATGGTCATATTATCGTCATCCTTCCCAGGCCCAGTATCAACTCGGGATACAAATTTCTTCATAATATTTAAAGGAACGTAGATTTTATTAATTCATCATGGTAGTCATCATATCAGGGCTATAGAATAAATGTTTGCATCAATATTATTTTGATACTTTAAACACTAATTTGCGAGGAGAGCCCGGAATATTCCATTCTTTTCCCCACCATGCCGAGGGGGTGGGGGTGGGGGTGGGGGATAACATTCTTTTTGTTAAGGGTTGACTACTAATTTGAGGGGAAGTTTTCCATTGCACATACCCCTACATGTCTCTGTTTCAACATGGTTTTACCTTTCTTTCTTTTTTCCCTTCAATTTTATCACTTTGATTCATAGTTGTTGTACTCCATCCATCTTTGTAAAATAGTGAATATGTATTCTTTAGATTGTGCTAAAATACTTGTTACCATTTTTTCTTACGCCATTCTGTGCATGTCAATAGCATGTGTTATTGATTATGGAATGTCTCGCTCATTGCTAAGTAAGAAACAAGTTGGTCAGTAATGTAATTATATGTTCTTTTTATCGATGCAATGACTTAAAATGAAGTATCATGTACTTTCCTGAACTTTTATCATAATTTTCATCGTGCATTACCAGCCATATCAGAATTACAAGAAAATACTAACATTTTATAACAAGTGTTTATTATTATTTATGTTATGTTTCGTTCATTTGTTTTATTGTTATTTGGTTGTTTTTGTTTTTATTTATTTGATTGTTTGTTTTGTGGGGGGTTAGTTGACCATTGTTATGGTAAAGCCATTAAGCATTTCAGATATTTAGGAAGCTTTCACACTGATTCCGTTTAAATTTATTCACAAGGTAATGCAAACTAGTGATGAAAAATCATTAAAATCTCATCAAATTTGTAGACATTGACGAGTAGAGAACCTTGAACACGCCACTTCAAGATTAATATTTGCTTCTTATATCACTTATACCACAACCACATTGTTAATGAAATTTCGATGACTATTATTTAAAAAATATATGAATAAATCGTTCACACAATGGTGTTATCTATTACAAAAACATATGATATAATAGAAAGTTATTTTAGTCCTCCTTTGTTCATGTATGTTCTTCCTTTCCCTTTTTGTCCCTATTTTTTTTTTCCTTTTTCTATATCCCCTTCTGCTTCTCCCTCTCTCTCTCTCTCTCTTTATTTCTCTATTTTCTCTATTTTTTGTGCAGGGGTTGAAAAAGTATCTCCGCCTGGTACGCACCCGGCGCACTGGCATAGAACGCCAATAACAAGCCTACACCACAAGACCGCGGAGACGGGCCACTGGCTTTGGGGACGCCAGATTCAATTGAGGGAATTACAGGTTGACAAATTTGCAACCTTCAGTAATTAATTGCAAAACAAATTCTGAAAGGGAGGACATCAATGCGGAACTTTGATTTAAGCTACGCAACCAATTTTCTCTCATTTCCTTTCGCGTTACTATTATACATACATATACACATATAACCCTACATGGTACATTAAGTGGACATCTAACAAATCCTAACCCTTACCCTATAGGTTATAACCCTAACCCTAAAACCTAACCCTAAACCTAACCCTAACACTAAACCTAACCCTAACCCCCGACTCTAACCCTAACCCTAACCCTAATGTCTACTTAATGACTCATGTTCACTCCAAATGTCCCTCCAATGACGCCTTTAGTAAAATTACATAACTATATAGAAAGAGATATATAACAAAATGGGCCTTCTATGAGAAATAAAACGTTATTAAAGAGGACACCAAATTGTCCTCCTAATGACAATGTCTACTTAATAACTCATTTTTTCACTCCAAATGTAATAACGCCTTTAGTAAAATATACATATATTATATCCCAACATTTGATGCATTAACTATATTTACTAAGGATGAATTTAGCTGCTGTTGTACTTGTTAAATCCGTGTTTGATAAATACCATGGATCATTCTTTAAAAATCTATTCCATTTTTTTAACTTTCCAAAATGAGCCTCAACCTTCAAAAGACAAGTAAATTTTAATCTGGATTTAATGACCTTTTTTAAGCAAATTTACTTATTTGCCAAATTCAACATGTACGAGTAAATCACTAATTTAATTAACGATAACAAGGTTGTTTGTTTGATGTGTAATTTAACCACACATTCCATCAAAATGGGTCAATATGTTCTAAATATAACAGGGATAATGATTTGCGGATTATTCGCCATGATTTCCGACTATTGTCAACAATCAGGCTTTCCACGGTTTAAACAGATATGCGTAGTTAGCCTACCGGAACGGAGATTAAAGGAAACCAAAACCTTCATACTAAGTTACTTTTATTGTAAAGTTTAAGATATTTGAAAATATCAGTGAAAATTTGAACAAAATCGGGCAAGGAATAAGGAAGTAAGAGTGTGTGTGTGTGTGTGTATTTGGTTTTTACAGACGTGTATCAATCAGATATGATTATTTACGTCTGGGGACCGACCTTTAACGTCACCATCCGAAAGACGTGACTCAGTTTCGAACCTGCGTCCTCGGCTGAATCAGTTTGTAACTTCCACTGTAAGCTGGATTACAGGCGCACGCCACAACGCCTAGTAAGAGCTTTTTGAAATTACTAGTCACTAGAGGGCGGTATTCAATTTGATGACAAACTAAAAGGATCTTAAAGAGCATTGTGCATGTCATTATTTTAAAATGACATGACGCTGTAGACATGTAACTCTTCTGGAGTTTTAACTTTACATCGTCTACTGCGTAAGAAGCTAAACACAACATTTATTTACAGAAATTGGCAAAAAGGCTGAGTTTTGTTGGGGGTTTGAGAGAGTCGGGGTAAAAAGGGGAATGGTTGAAACATTTTTTTGTTTGTTCTTGTTCATGTTATTGTTCTCGTTGTTATGCGGTTGTTTTCTGCTGTTTGTGATGGTTATGTTTTTGCTGCTCCTGTTGCTGTTGGGGTTGGTGATGTTTTTTACTTGTTGATTGTTTATTCATTTAAGCGAGTGTGTTTTTGTCGTCGTCAAAACTCACGCTTTTTTATTCGTATACACAAGAATAATTTATCATCGCTTTGACCCATTCACTGCGACGATGTAATTTGCATTTTGGGGTCATCATAGAGCACACCTTCCTGTTTCGTGTATGTAGTAAAAAAAAAAACATTTCAAAGTCATATTAACTTCAGAGGCCATATTTATCGTAGGACAGACAATACTAAAACATGGAACAACAATAGGCACATGCAGCGCCACATACATGTTGACATGCGTTCTCATGTTTCAAGATAGATGTGTGTCACTGTTCCAGATTATATTTATACTAAAACCTAACCTAAAAATAACCTGATAGAAAGCAGAAAAGAATAGGAGAAGCAGTTTGGTGACATTTTAAATAAGTCGGACAAATAATACGATTAAAATAATGAGAAAGATGTGATTTTGTTATTGTTTTAATAAATATACGTAATAATAGTGGAATTCAAATTGGCCCAACTCTGCTATTTGTTCCAACACACAAACTAGTAACAAAATATAAATTTTTCAAAATGTATGATGATGATGATGATGATGATAACAATAATGATAACAATGATAATAATAATTAAAGATTATAACAATACTATTTCCGAATTCTTCGCAATCGTAAATTTTCAATAGTGTTGTGAGTCCATTCTTTTATTTTCTTTTATTATTTCACTATGTACAAACGATTTATATCCGTGTTTCCATATGAATATGTCATTGTACGTTTGCAACTGTAATGTCCATGTGCTTTATGTAATGCAAACAACTGAATTTCCAAATGGACCAATAACATTAATCTGAATGTGAGGATTTTTCTTTGTAGAGGATCTATAATAATATGCTAGTTATAATCAGTACCCTGAAGGCAAAGGCGCTTTATTAGGAGACCAAAACAAAGAATCCGAACGGGTGAGGAATGCATTGATACGTTACACTAGCCAAAATTACTACTTTGAGATTCACATAGATCTCATATTTAAAACATTGATAACTTTCATATAATTCGTCCGATTTATTTCAAACTGTTGCCATATTTGTTCTCTTATTGCTTTTCTTAATAAAGTTTTACTTTCAAAAGTCAAAAAAAGTCTTCTTCTTCTCCTTCTTCTTCTTCTTCTTCTTCTTCTTCTTCTTCTTCTTCTTCTTCTTCTTCTTCTTCTTCTTTAGGAATTACGGATCGATGACTGGATGTAACCTTGGCTATGTTCGTATTGTTACCGATTGTTTACATTATATCATACAGCAGAAAACCACAAATAAGGCAATAATGGCTATACACTGGCACACTTCAATTTAGAAAGCAATGTTTACCGCGAGTATGCTCCAAGTACGATGTTGCCGCTTTCGTTGCCATGGCAGTTGTTAGTGTATTGACTTGCATGGCATCATTGATCGCTGAGGGCGTCAGCTCAGACAATCGTCCGTACGATATTGCTCCTTCACAGTTAACCTGAAATTGAGGATTAATATTGTAGGTGCAATTGAGAGAGAGAGAGAGAGAGAGAGAGAGAGAGAGAGAGAAAAAGAGAGAGAGAGAGAGAGAGAGAGAGAGAGTAGGAAGAGAGGATGTGTGGCAAGTGGAAGAGGAAGATTTGGATTCAAGAGAGTGATATCCACAAATTATCTCTTTAAAAAAAATCTTTCTTTCATAATATAAGTATTTAGACTGACATTACTATACACTAATATACTTATATATATTTATGGGTGTAAGTGTATATATTTTATACTTCACTTCATGACAATCCACTTTACTTGCAGAATGGTTACTTTCACGCTATAGTCTCGATCGCATCCCATAATAATCTCGACTCATTCGTATTGCCCATGTTATTGGTTCAAATGGCTAACTCTATCGATGAAATCTAAGTACCAAACATGTAAACTTACCAATACGTGCAATGGTCCTAACTGGCCAGAAATCCTAGAAAATATATTCTCAAAATCAGATTCTTGATTTAGATCACACCGGACTGCCAAGACCTGGATCAAAATGGGGGAAAATCTTTATTTGTTCATCAATATAATTGGCCTTAATACGTTGTAAACAACATTGCCGTATATACTGATTGCGATATAGACTTATGCATCCGGGAAGCGGGGCAGCGCATATTTTTTTTACACAACTGTTTAGCAATTTTGGCGAAAAAATTCCAAGAAGTGCTCTGGTGAAAGAGTCTAAGTCGTCAGCAAGCACGTACACTCAGGGAAGGGAAAATGATAGAAAGGGGAAAACAAGGATAGTGGAGAGGATATGGAGAAGGAAAAACAAGAGAAATACATAAGGAAAGAGAAGAGGATAAGTCAAAGGAAGAACATAGAAATACATAATTGAAGAGCTATAGAGGATCATAAATCTAGACTAAGGAAAAACAGGGAAATTAATATAAAGAAGGAGAAAGGGAATCTATCAGATTAAAACAAAGAAATAGATGACGAAGGAGAAAAGGATAGATTGAAGGAGAAACAAAGAAATACATAAAACAAAAGAGAAGAGGTTAGAATAAAGTAGAACAAAAGAAATACATAATGAAGGAGAACTGGGGGATATAGATTGAAGGAAAAACAAAGAAATATATAACTAAAGAGAAAAGGGATAAAAGAAGGAAAAAAAGAAATATATGACAAAAGAGAAGAGGATAGATTGAAGGAGAACACAGAAATACATAATGAAAGAGAAGAGGAATGTACGTCCATACGTACATGTATGTACACATGCATGTATACAGCTCCAGCAATCCAACAAAACTGCTAAGGGTAATGCTAGACTCTGTCTCTAGCCGTTTGCACAGTATATTTGACTGAAGTGGCTAAACAGTTGTGTAAACAAAATATGCGCATCCGGGAAAATGGTTTACAGTTCCACAATATTTACTATAAATATAGCCCCTCTTGATAAGGTGTAAACATTTTTATTCCTGTATGCTTTCGCCATATTTTAATTGTTTTAATATTATTTTGGGGTATATAATTATTTCCAAGTTAGATCATTTCTGAGAACTAAACCATAAAGAACTCCTTCATTTGTTATGATTTTTTTTCTCTCGACATGCTGAATATTGATTTTAAATCCCGTAGTATTCTCTATAACATACCTGTTTTGAAATAAGTCCTTTACTGATACAGTCTCTGGCAATGTCATCAAGCTTCGATTGATTCTTTCCTACTAAAGCAAGGGAACATCCAAGAGATGCAAAGTGAACGGCCACCTCTTTACCTAGTCTGCCCTCTACGCCTGAAACGAGAGAAAGGGAAAAGATTTTCAAAAACGAAACATGACAAAAGGGAACACTTTTGCAACTCCCCAATTTTATTTACCCCTCTTTTTCACATCTCCGAACCTTTTCAAGATGGGTTGTCAGTTTTAGAGGCATTGAAAATGCATCCTAACTAATCCTGTTTTCTCCTTCCCCCTGTACTTAAGCACCTAACTAACTTTGCAACATTGCTTTAAATAAAACTACAACAATTATTATTGTCGTTATATACTGTATTATTAAGAGTTATAAATATCGGTCTCCACAATTTTGCATTTTATGCATGATCTCCCTTTTTTCATATTCGGTCTGCCTGTCTGTCTGTTCTTATATATGTATTTCGGTTCTCCCCCCCCCCCCCCCATCCGCATCCTTCCCTTCCCTTCTCTCTCTCTCTCTCTCTCTCTCTCTCTCCCTCTCTTCCTTTTGATTTGAGAGGGATAAGGGTAATTCCTCCCCGTAATGGTACAGGTGTATGTCTACACTGGCATTGTTCTTTATAAACATGTCGTCAGCGTGTCGATGATGATTTTTTTTTTGTATTTGTTTGATTTATTTGTTAAAGTGTAAATTTAATTTGTTTTAAATGTTTTAAATGTTTTAAAGAAAGAAAAAAAAGAACCACCTCATGCTCAGTCCCTATCCACAACAGGCTCTGCTTTCACGCCCCAGCCACTAAACACACACAAATATATTTCAAAGGAAAAACAAAATGGGATATGTATTTCATTTTACATTTCTTTTTTATTAAGACTGTGTCGATGATAATGGTCGATGATAACGACTTGCAATGTAACATGTTCTATTTATTTTCATAATATCAGGAATGCTCGGGAAAAGCGAATTATTTAGAATTTGAGACTTACTAGTAGTCACCAAGCAGGTACAACAAAGTGAAAATAATTTTCATTGGGCGTTGCTCTAGCCATGTCAAACTAGAAACAATAAATTTCACAAACTGATGACATAAGAGTTCAATAATACCTAAGTCTGAAACTAATGAATCAAAATGTCTTACCTATGATGGCGGCGGTTTTCCCTTGCAATTTAAAATCCATGTTCCTTCAGAATAAAAGAGTTACCATAATAATGCAGTCGAAACCTGTATAGACCTATATACCAGTAGTTGGTAATAATGTATCGGTATTTTATCTGCCTGCATTCTTTCACTATGTAGAAAAAAGATTCTACCAGCATTTTTTATAAAAATTCCCTTCGCCAATATCAGGGCGATTATTTATTTATTTTTTTATTTTTTGGCGGGGGGGGGGGGGGGGTAGAAGACAATTATTGACTAAAACCAATTTTGAGAACGAACCGGAAGCAATTGCAATAATACTAAAAGGCTTTCGTTGATTAGTTTGTTTCTGCATTCAAATTTGTGTCCGTTTTTTAAAATTTTATTTGATAAATCATTAGGAACGCTTGATAAACAGGTGGCCACTTGCAAGGAGAAGACACGTAAAGAACAGACGTCCTCGCAACTTCATGCGTGCAGGAAGAGCCAAAATGTTTAAATAATTATAAAGCAAGAGTCCGCGATACAAATGTCAACGTTTCGGGGGGGGGGGGGGGGGGGATATGGCTGCCGATATGTTTTCTTTCTCTTGATACATCAGAGTCATGATTAGACTAACGAGAGATGGGGACCCCGGGATGGGGACAGGGAAAGCAGTTCGGATTAAGAGAGAGAGAGAGAGAGAGAGAGAGAGAGAACATGAAATTGAAACTGAAATCAAAATTGTATTAATTTAAAGTCCACTTGGCAGCCCGACGGCTGATTTATATGAAATGTACAACGTAAAAGCATAAATTAAAATGGAATAGGGTACATCTTCATAATTATCATATAACCTTATTATGATACTTGAGTGAACATGATGGAGAAAGGCAGATAGGAGAGAGAGAGAGAGAGAGAGAGAGAGAGAGAGAGAGAGAGAGAGAGAGAGAGAGGAAGAGGAAACGTGACAGCAAGATGTTGTAGGGAGATACTTTAGAATGACATTGTCTATTATAAGAAATAATATTAATAAATTAATGAAACTTCTTAACAAGACAGAGAGAGAGAGAGCGAGGGATACAAAGAGAGGGGAAAATAGAGAAAGAGAGAGAGAGAGAGAAAGAAAGAGAGAGGAGAGAAAGAGAGAGAAAGAGAGAGAGAGAGAGAGAGAGAAAGAGAGAGGAGAGAGAGAGAGAGAGAATGGGGAGAGAGAGAGAGAGAGAGAGAGAGAGAGAGAGAAGACTTCATGATTACGTCCCCTTTAATCATAGCTTGGAAATGTTACGATAAGAATACAGAAACACTAATTGTTTAATATTATCATTAGTTGTGACGGCTGGGATGAGGGAATATCGTGGTCTGGGAGGGAGCAGAAATCTTCTGAGGGAACTGTGAGGATTTTATCTGTGCTCAAATCAAATATTTGGCGTGAATTCAACGACATTCAAAGAAGACGGTCGGAATCGGTTTATTTCAATCAGGACTAAAATAGATTATTTTTTATTACAGTCACGTAGAAATTGACGTCATATGTTGCAAAAGAGAGATTCCAATCGGTTAGGAATGTGGATTCCCTTTTTTACAAAATAAATTTGACTTGCGGAAATGTTTGAAAAGTGCGGATCAAAATAATGCCGGACGCCTATGAAAAAGATTATTATTACATGTGTTTGAGGTTTAAATCAGTTTGATAGTGGACATATAAGAAAGCATTTTGACTGGCCAGTTGCTTTTTTTTCTGTTTGTGTGGTGTTTCTTGGTTTCTTTGTTTGTTTATTTGTCTGTTTTGCTGTTAATTTTTGCCGGCCTACATTTTCACAAGCCTGACTCCCGGACCACTCCTCTCAATTTTATTTGTTTCCTAAAATATTTCATTTTGAGTGACGTTGGAATAATAATAGTTTTGCTTAAGGATTCACTTCTAGAATTTACACAGGTGATGAAAAGATGACTTCGAAATGCACATGAGCCCAAAATGAAACACTGTGTCTATTTACAGAAGAGGAGACCCCCCCCCCCCCCCAACCCATTCCACTCCCCTCTCAGAGTCATCGAAAAGGTTTGAGTTCGTTGCTCAGAGTTTGTTGTCCTGCTTTTTGTTTACACCGTAGAGGGCGCACTCATTACGAAGATCTGAAACAAAATACAGACAGAAGGTGTGTATTTCGTATACCCACGATGACAATTGTCCTCCTAATCGCTGTTGGTAGTACGTGAAATAGTACGATAATAGAGTCATTTTTGTTTAGTGTGGAAATCAATGGATCCACCAGTTTAACTCCGAGTCTCTCGTTGATGCCTGGATAAAATTGACTGATAAATGCAACGTTATGCAGGTTCCATGCCTTCCTTTCTTATATTATGTGATATACTATGACTGATAAGCTACCGTAGTACATGCCTTGGGAAATAACGCGCCTCTACGTCTAGTTTTTTAGGTAAGCTATAGAGAGAGTAGGCCATGCGAGTGTAGTGCCAGTGGTATGATGAGTGAATGAGGGGGATGATCATCGCTAGACATCACTCATCAGTGATCTGCGCGCTGCACATGCATGCACTGCAGTAGACCGAAAGCTTCAGTCTCTATACCGTCGGTTGTTCCACTGAGACTACGTCTGGCTCCACTAGACCTCCGGTTATAGAGACAGAACGACTGCCTATGCCAGCCTGTGTTGAACTTATTCCGCTAGATTTTAGCCGCTAGGCCCCTCCCACAAACTTGCCACTGCCGTATTGTTATGCCCCCAAAATCCCCCAAAATGTCATTTTACCTCGTCCATATCCAATTTTAAATTAGGCCTAGGCTATAATACATCGGTTCCACTTACTAATTTGATGTAAATAATCCGTTTAATGGTCCCTTTTAAGGAAATTATGGGTCAAAATCGACATCCATGTTGAAAATCTTGCAAGCCGTGTTAAACTGGTAGCATATATTGGCACCAAGATTAACGGCGATATGAATATTCATTATTCCCTACGTCACAGACGTGCGGCGTGCGTACTCTGTTATATACACATGTATTCAGTACATGAGTACGTTCGTAAGCATTAGGTCATGTACATTGGTCAGGAATGAAGAGAATCATTATAAAGGACGAATTACTTCGTGAAGCCAAGTACAAGCAGGGAATTGAAAATAGCAAACGTTCCTCGGAGCGGCTATACACTCCCTAATCTAGCTAGTTTTGTAATGATAGTTTATTTAGGATAATGGACATTTAGTAGGCCTATTGTTTAGTTGTTAAATAACATCACTCAGTGTGATTTGATTCGAGATATATCTCATTAATAAAACAGTATAAAGGCTGTATGAGTCTCGAACGAACCATATCGCCACTAATCTTGGTGCCAACACCGTTAATCTATGCTCCAAATTTAGTAATACATTTTGTGTGCCCTATAATGACCCGGGGTTGGATTATTTAGGAGAACAGAAGATTGATATTGTTAAGTTGTTTCATAACATCACTCAGTTTGATTTGATTCGAGATATATCTCATTAATAAAACAGTATAAAGGCTGTATGAGTCTCGGACGAACCATCGCCACTAATCTTGGTGCCAACACCGTTAATCTATGCTCCAAATTTAGTAATACATTTTGTGTGCCCTATAATGACCCGGGGTTGGATTATTTAGGAGAACAGAAGATTGATATTGTTAAGTTGTTTCATAACATCTCTCAGTTTGATTTGATTCGAGATATATCTCATTAATAAAACAGTATAAAGGCTGTATGAGTCTCGGACGAACCATCGCCACTAATCTTGGTGCCAACACCGTTAATCTATGCTCCAAATTTAGTAATACATTTTGTGTGCCCTATAATGACCCGGGGTTGGATTATTTAGGAGAACAGAAGATTGATATTGTTAAGTTGTTTCATAACATCTCTCAGTTTGATTTGATTCGAGATATATTTCATTAATAAAACAGTATAAAGGCTCTATGAGTCTCCAAGAACGATCGCCACTAATCTTGGTGCCAACACCGTTAAACTATGCTCCAAATTTAGTACTACCTTTTTTGTGCCCTATATGCTAAAGACCCATGCAAGGTTGGATTCTTTAGGAGAATGGAAGATTGATATTGTTGTTTCATAACATCATTCAGTTTGATTTGATTCGAGATATATCTCATTAATAAAACAGTATAAAGGCTGTATGAGTCTCACACGAACGATCGCCACTAATCTTGGTGCCAACACCGTTAATCTATGCTCCAAATTTAGTAATACATTTTGTGTGCCCTATGAAAGACCCGGGGTTGAATTATCTGGGAGAACGGAAGATTGATATTGTTAAGTTGTTCCATTAAATCATTCAGTTTCATTTGATTCGAGATATATCTCATTAATAAAACAGGATAAAGGCTGTATGAGTCTCGAACGAACCATCGCCACTAATCTTGGTGCCAACACCGTTAATCTATGCTCCAAATTTAGTAATACATTTTGTGTGCCATATAATGACCCGGGGTTGGATTATTTAGGAGAACAGAAGATTGATATTGTTAAGTTGTTTCATAACATCTCTCAGTTTGATTTGATTCGAGATATATTTCATTAATAAAACAGTATAAAGGCTCTATGAGTCTCCAAGAACTATCGCCACTAATCTTGGTGCCAACACCGTTAAACTATGCTCCAAATTTAGTAATACATGTTGTGTGCCCTATAATGACCCGGGGTTGGATTATTTAGGAGAATGGAAGATTGATATTGTTAAGATGTTTCATAACATCACTCAGTTTGATTTGATTCGAGATCTATCTCATTAATAAAACAGTATAAAGGCTGTATGAGTCTCACACGAACGATCGCCATGCACTAATCTTGGTGCCAACACCGTTAAACTATGCTCCAAATTTAGTACTACCTTTTTTGTGCCCTATATGCTAAATACCCATGCAGGGTTGGATTCTTTAGGAGAATGGAAGATTGATATTGTTGTTTCATAACATCATTCAGTTTGATTTGATTCGAGATATATTTCATTAATAAAACAGTATAAAGGCTCTATGAGTCTCCAAGAACGATCGCCACTAATCTTGGTGCCAACACCGTTAACTATGCTCCAAATTTAGTACTACCTTTTTTGTGCCCTATATGCTAAAGACCCATGCAGGGTTGGATTCTTTAGGAGAATGGAAGATTGATATTGTTGTTTCATAACATCATTCAGTTTGATTTGATTCGAGATATATCTCATTAATAAAACAGTATAAAGGCTCTATGAGTCTCACACGAACGATCGCCACTAATCTTGGTGCCAACACCGTTAATCTGCTCCAAATTTAGTAATACATTTTGTGTGCCCTATAATGACCCGGGGTTGGATTATTTAGGAGAACAGAAGATGGATATTGTTAAGTTGTTTCATAACATCTCTCAGTTTGATTTGATTCGAGATATATTTCATTAATAAAACAGTATAAAGGCTCTATGAGTCTCCAAGAACGATCGCCACTAATCTTAGTGCCAACACCGTTAAACTATGCTCCAAATTTAGTAATACATGTTGTGTGCCCTATAAAGACCCTGGGTTGGATTATTTAGGAGAATGGAAGATTGATATTGTTAAGATGTTTCATAACATCACTCAGTTTGATTTGATTCGAGATCTATCTCATTAATAAAACAGTATAAAGGCTGTATGAGTCTCACACGAACGATCGCCACTAATCTTGGTGCCAACACCGTTAATCTATGCTCCAAATTTAGTAATACATTTTGTGTGCCCTATGAAAGACCCGGGGTTGAATTATCTGGGAGAACGGAAGATTCCTATATTGTTAAGTTGCTCTATAACACAGGCGCGGTTCCAGGGGGGCAGCGCCCCCCCCCCCCCCCCGCAAAAATAAAGAGAGAGATAGAGAGAGAGAGAGAGAGAGAGAGAGAGAGAGAGAAAAGGAAAAGAAGGACAGGGAAAGAGGAGAGAAGGGAAAGAAAGAAGAGGAAGAAGACAAGAAAAGGGGGAAGAAGGAGATTGGGGGGGGGGACCGAAATGGCCTTGCCTTCCAGGCTGTTGCCTCCCCGCCCCCCCCCCCCCCCCCATCAAAAAAAAATATGAGCGAAGGAAGGAAAGGGAAGGGAAGAAAGGAAAAGAGGAGATAAAGGGAAGGGAAATAAAAGAGGAAGAAGAAAAGAAAAGAAGGAGGATATCAGTTTTCCTGCCAATAAGTTATGGTTCGGGGGGGGGGGGGAGGCTATTTCTAATTCCATAAAGGTGACTTACAAATGTTGCTAAAATGACATCATTTTCCGAGATTGTTCCTCACTTTTTATTAAATTATACTTTTTTATGCGTTTGTTGGAAAATGACATATTCCGAAATTTACAGTCAGGCAAGAAAAATATGCTTATTGAGATGCCTACATGTCGGGGCCGCGGAACGGTCGGGATCGGGAGCCTCGAGCTCCCTCGCCCTCCCCCTCTTTTTTGAAAAAAGTATATCAAAGAGAGCAAGAAATAAAGAATAGTGAACTGCCAGTGTCACAGAAAAAAATGAGGTATCAAAATATGCTCATCTGACCGTGATTAAATGCCTAAACCCCCCGAACTTTCGGGGTCTCTACCCTCTGGATTCCACCTAGGGCCCAAAGGTCGGCCCTTAAATGCTCATCTGACGGTAATTTAATGCCTAAAACCCCTGTAATTTTTGGGGCTTCGCCCCCTTTACCCCAAGCCAAATAGTGTCCTGCAAATGTCACAAAATAATAAGGTATCAAACATTGCTAACCTGACCGTAATAAAACGTCTAAAACCCCTGAGCCTCCGGGGCTCTGCCCCTGAACCAAACCAAGGGCCCTAAGGCGGGCCCCTGAATGCTTATCTGACGGTAATTAAACACCTAAAACCCCTGAGCTTCCGAGGGCTCTGCCCCTAGACCCAACCAAGGGCCTTAAGGCGGGCCCCTTGATACTCATTTAATTTAATGCCTAAAACCCTTGAGCTTCCGGGGGCCTCGCCCCCTGAACTCCACGACAATTGCTGATCTGCCAGTGTCACAATAAGTCCCCCCCCCCCCCCAAAAAAAAAGAGAGGAGAAAAGGGAAGAGGTCATAGGAAGAAAAAGGAGCAGACAAAGAACAATTTTGAAATTCAGACAAGGATTAAGAGTCCAGAACGGTACACAAATCGTCTTCTTTCTTTAATGATTTAATGAAACGTCAAAGCTTCCGCGCTTCGCGTATGAGGGAGGGGAAACTCGCCCCTCCCTGCATCCCCCCCCCCCCAGGGAACGTGCTTTGTAAGTGATTCGCACGCATCGCGTGCTCCGACCCCCCTAAAATAAAATCCTAGCTACGCGCTTGCCTGACCGTAATTAAACGCCTAAAACCCTGAGCTTCCGGGGGCTCCGCCCCCTGGACCCCACGCAATTAATGACCCTGCCAGTGTCACAAATAAGGTATAAAAATATGCTCATTTGACCGTA